ACTGGAAACGTGATTCATCAGACCACATGACTTTTTTTCCAATGCTCGACTGTCCAATCCTTGTGTTCCTGTGCAAACTGGAGACATTTTATCTTGGTAACTGCAGACAGCAAAGGTGTTCGAACAGGCCTTCGGCTTCCATATCCCATACAATGCAGTGTACGGCTAATTTGCCTACAAATGTCAGGTGGTCATAATAATCTGGCCACTCAGTGTGTGTGTGTGTGTGTGTGTGTGTGTGTGTGTGTGTATTTCCACGTTCAAAGGCTGTTAAATCCCGTTGTTTACCCATATCTTCAGAAAAAAATCACCTCTACTATCGTGGTAAACCTGCTTCCCTATTTATAATGGTCTGGCCCTCTAGCAACTTCAGCGCGAAATTATAGCAATTTTGCCTACAAACATCAGGTGGTCATAATAATCTGGCCACTCAGTGTATATTTAATGCAGAACACCTCCCTCTTCCCTAGGAGATCTACATTGTCATTATGATCTATTAACACTTTAGAGTGAAACTATTTATAGGATTACTTTTCATTTCCATACCAGGTGTGAAAAGGTCACTGAGGAAATGTAAATTTTGAAGGGAAGATAATTGTGAAATCAGAAGGAAGGCAGACCTGGGCAAATTACTTCAATTGATGACACTGGGCAAAAACGTGACAATATAAGAGTCTGTGGAACTGAGTATGGCAATGCAGAGAGAGGGGGTAAGATATGGAAGAAGGAATCAGATAGTTAACCAGGGGCTCTGGCCAGGTAGGTCAGTTGATTAGAGAATCATCCCAATACTCCAAAGTTGTCGGGTTCAATCCCGTCAGGGCACATACCAGAATCAACCAATGAATGAATAAATAAGTGAAATAATAAATCAATTTCTCTAAAATAACTTTTTTTATTTTTTAAAGAGATAAGTTGATCATAAAAATAAACTTTATTCACTGTGACAGTTATTTTTTTTTTTTATGTCACTTTGGCTCAGCCACAGTGCCCAGATATTAGCACACATTCTGGATGTGTCTGAGGGTGCTTTTGGATGAGATTAACATTTAAATTGGTGGACTTTGAGTAAAGCACCTTGCCCTCCATAATGTGGGTGGGCCTAATACAATCAGTTGAAGGACTGACTAGAACAGTGGTTCTCAACCTTCCTAATGCCGCGACCCTTTAATACAGTTCCTCATGTTGTGGTGACCCCCAATTTCATTGTTATAAATTGAACATAATTAAAGCATAGTGATTAATCACAAAAACAATATGTAATTATATATGTATTTTCCGATGGTCTTAGGCGACCCCTGTGAAAGGGTCGTTCGACCCCAAAGGGGTCGCGACCCACAGGTTGAGAACCGCTGGACTAGAACAATAGACTCACCTCTCCAGAGCAGAAAGAATTCACCAGTAGAGCTAGACTTGGACTGCAACATCAGCTCTTCCCTGTCTGCAGCCTGATATCCCACCCTGCAGATTTTGAACTTGCTAGCCTCCATGATTGCATGAGTCAATTCCTAGTTTATAAAGCAATTCCCAGAGTATAAGCTGAATTTATCTATAATAGCTCAGGAAATACATTGTCCAAACTCAACTATCTGTTTATGTGAATCAAAGAACAAAAATAAAAACTTCAATCTTGGCATTCATCACCACTCCGCCCTCTTCCTGTTTCCATCGCTATCTTAATCTCTGTACTTTTGGAGACCAGAAATCCAGAGATGTAATATACTGTACCCATATTTCTTTTCCTGATAATGTTTGTGAAATGTTGTCTCTGAATTACTACAGAAAAAGAAGAGAGGATAATTTACTATGTAGGCTATCTTAAAAAGCAGTACCCCTATAGTAGAGAGATAATTGTCCAAATTTCTGGCATGGCATAGACTATCAATCTCTGAGTCAGAAGCCAGTAAAAGGACCAAATCAGCTTCTCATCTTTATTTCAGAGAGATTCTGCTTCAAAAGGTAAAGCCTGAGCATGCTAAGGCAGTTTTTCTCAATTCAGCCTGCACTGTCTTATAATTAACTAGTGGCCCGGTGCACGAAATTCGTGCACTGGGGTGGGGGTGGGGAAGGGGCCCCTCAGTCTGGCCTTCACCCTCTCCAATCTGAGACCCCTCAGGGAATGTCCAACTACCTGTTTGTGCCCACACTTTTAACAGATAACAGCTCCATTGTTGTTTCTTTCTTATGCTTAAAACCATTGGAATTAGTAGGTATTCAAAGTGTGTATACATTTTGGGGGGACACCCTGTATATCTCTAGTCAGCGGTGAAAGAAACCAACAGCAGATTTGGAACCCCCAGACAGGGAACCTCGCTCACTCCCCACATGTCTCCCCACTTCACTTTCCACCTTCGTGGGCAGCAGGAGAATCAACGTTTTCTCTCATTAATTCGGAAAAGCACGTCCTGTCACCTGCTGCCTGGCAGGAGTGAGCTAGGCCCCAAGCAAGCGAGGCTCCGTCAGGGCAGCCTTCGCTCATGGGTGTTGGCACCCAAAGTGCACATTCCTCCTCTACAGTCGCCCCGACTATCCCACTGTTTCACTGAGAGGACGGAATTCCTCTC